GGGTTCGATCCCTGGGTCAGGAAGATCCCCTGGAGAAGGAAATGACAACCCACTCCAGTATTCTTGCCTGGAGAATCCCATGGATGGAGGAGCCTGGTAGGCTACAGTTCACAGGGTCGCAAAGAGTCGTACAAGACTGAGTGACTTCACTTTCACTTTCACTTTTCACTTTTCCTACTCTCTATCCTTGCACCTCCACCTGGTCAAGAGCAGACCACTTTTCCCTAGGACCCTGGTTACAGCTTCCCCACTGGCCTCCTCACTCATCCCCACACACCTGTGACCACAAGCTCTCCCAAAGGAAGATTTGACCAGGTCACACAGCCACCACTATGGGTGAGCACCAGCCAGTGGCCCTATCACCTCAACTCCTTAACACAATCCCTGAAGCCTGGTCCTTGCTCTATACTCGAGCACATGGGGCATGGGCGAGGCTACGGGGTGAGAGGCCAATCAGGGAAAGGACACAACATGAGAGGAGCAGGGAATGCCTCGTGTTCCAGGTGGGCAGAGGAAGTGCATATAGTGATATAATCATGACAGAGGGGCAGAGGCAGAGACGGGAGGCAATATGTGGTGTGTCCGATGGCAGAGTGCAGACTTCCAGGAAAGGGACCTCACCTGTCTGAACAGGCTCTAAATCAGGACTTTGGAGGGCTCCTCTGCCAGGTACAAGACAGCCTGTGCCTGTCCCACCCCCAGGGCTGTGGGAAGGATTAATGAGTTCATACATGAAAAGTTGTCGGAAGAAAGGCAGACTCACTCAGTGCCTGGTCACCATTGTTATTACCACTAATCTCATTATTTCACTTAGGTATCCCTGGGAATCATTCCCCTGAGACAGACCTAGGCAGAGAGATGAAATAGAGCCCAAGCAGGTGAGCAAGGCCGGTGGAGGGTCACTGGGCAGACATAGAGGAAGCCTGGCAGGCATTGGGCAGGGGTGGGGGCTTGGGGTGGGCCTCCTGAGCTCACAGCCACTCTGTTGGGGCCGATGGCTGACTTTCGGGTCATGTTGAGATCAGAAAGCGTCCAAGGTTGCCATGTGCGAAAAAAACCCTATCTCTTAGAATTCAGACCTGGCTACTTTAGAATGGTTAGATAGCATCACTGATTCAATGGACATGAGTTTGAGCAAACCCCGGGAGACAGTAGAGGACGGAGGAGCTTGTCGTGCTGCAGTCCGTGGGGTCACAAAGAGTCAGACACGACTTAGTGATTGAACAACAACAACTTCAGAACTCGCATGCAGTCACATTAGCCCATAGTATACTGCTTCCAGAATGACTGCATTTGGGAGCTAGAAGCATCACAGAAAGCTCTGAGGATGACAAACCAAGATGATGAGGATTCTGAGGGCCACATGAAGGGAGATGGGTCCCAAGCCTGTTACTGATGACTCTTGTCCACCCATTACAGCAGGACTCCCCCCTACACGTGGCTAGTCATGACAACATGTCCTTGGAAGAGACCTAACAGTACATCTTTGGGCAACATGGCCCGTGCTGACCATAGGATGGCCATGGAGCATGGCTGTGTATGGCCCACACCCTGGGAGCCCTCGCCAACAGATGTTCCTTAATGTGGAACATTAGGCCCTGGCACAGCCAGCTGCTTCTGCCAGTTGACGTTCCCAAGGCCCAGAACTTGTTAGATGAGCGAGGGAACATGGTCACAAGGGCCGAGGTGCTCAGGTGTAGGTGGCACAATGGGGGAGGGTTCCCAGGTTGAAGGTCAGAGACATGGAGGCAGTTAGGGATCCATCCTCCCAACAACTGTTTACTGAGCAGTTAGCATGTGCCAGCACCCATTAGGCCCAGGGCTACAGTGGGTGAGAAAACAAATTTGAGAAGTTCTCATTTGAGGGCAGTGGGAGGGAAAGGACAGGCGCCCCCTCCACATCGACAGGGTGTCACAAACTCAAGGTTTGCCAAGGGCTCACAGCATGATTCTGGCAAATCTCCACACCCTCCAGCCTGACTCAGTTTCACACTGATCACATCAAGGGCTGGGCGACTGAGCAGTCTCCCAACTCCTTGAATGATCAGAGCTCAGATCTGGAAGAGAGTCACTCAGGACCTGCTGGGATCTGGGAAGGATGGCCAGGAGGCTGGGGCTGCCTTCCCTGGCCCCAATGCCTGGACAGACATCCTCAACAGGGCATCTGCCAAGGTCCCCTCACTTGCCCCATGGCCCACCACACTCTAAAAGCCCTCCTGGTTCCTGGCCTGCCTTCCCTCCATAGACTGAAGATCCTAGTGGGATAATTCCTGTGGCACCAGAGCATGTAGGAAGCCTAAAAGTAGAACCCAAACCTTAGGGCCCAAGTCTAGTGTCTGGGTTTAGGAGACTATGATATTGTGATAAAATAAATTTGATATCGGGATATAATAAATCACAATGACTCTGATATTGTGAGACTACGATATTGTGATATAATAAGAATTACACATTTGTTCTTCATCCCGGATTCCTGACTGTTTGGTGCTGTTCAATCACTAAGTTGTGTCTGACTCTTTGTGATGCCATGGACTATAGCACACCAGGCTCCTTTGTCCTTTGCAATCTCCCAGAGTTTGCTCAAACTCAACCATTGAGTCAGTGATACTATCTAATCATCTCATCCTCTGCTGGCCCTTTCTCTTTTCGTCTTTAATCTTTCCCAGCATCAGGGTCTTTTCCAATGTCAGTTATTTGCATCAAGTGCATCAAAATGCATCAAGTGCATCAAAGTATTGGAGTTTCAGCTTTAGCATTAGTCCTTCCAATGAATATTCAGCGTTGATTTCCTTTAGGATTGACTGGTTTGATCTCCTTGCCATCCAAGGGACTCTCAAGAGTCTTCTCCAGCACCGCATTTCAAAAGCGTCAATTCTCCGGCACTCAGGCATAGAGCTCCTAAAACCCTGGGAACAACCTGAGTGATAGTGTCAGAGGAGCAGCTCTCTGTTCATAAGCCCCTTTCAGCCATACCTGAGTGTATGCTCATGACATTGCTCTTGGAGGATAGGGACTGGTCCACAGGGCAACCAACTGTGGGATTAAGGAACTGGAACTTTCAGCTCCACCTTTCATGTTGGGGCCAAAAATTGAGTTAATCATCAAAGGCCAAAGATTTAACCCATCGTGCCTACATAATGGAACATCCATAAACCCCTAAACAATGGGATCTGGAGAGTTTCTGGGTTGGTGAACACATCCACTTACCAGAGAGTGGCACATTCCACAAAGACAGAAGCTCCTGCACTTGGGATTCTATTGGACCTCACCCTATGGGCCTCTTCATCCAGCTGTTCATTTATAAAATCCTGCTTCATTTATAAAAAAACTGGTAAACGTGTTCTGTGGGTCATTATAGCAAATTATTGAGTGTGAGAAGGAGGCCATGGGAACTCCTGATCTGTAGTCAAGTCAGACTGAAGTGTGGGTTACCCTAAGTGTGAGGACCCACGATGTGCAACTGGCATCTGAAATGGGGGAGCAGTCTCCTGAAACTGAACCTTCACCTGTAGGGTCTGTGCTAACTCTAGATAGTTAGGGTCAGATTTGAATTAAATAGTAGGGACATCCAGTGAGTGTCCATAGAAAACTGGAGAATTGCTTGGTATGGAAAACGCACACTTTTGGTGTCGGAAATGCTGTGAATAGATAAACAGTTTTGCTTTATGGGACAATGTCCCCGATCCATAAGGAGCTCTCAGTCGTCCACCCACCCCTCTGGCTGGCATCACTGGGGTCAAAAGAGACGCAGGTCTCCTCAGGGCTTCCCAGGATGCCTCGTGCACATTTTTCCTATAGTTATCACCTCTCAGTTGGACCCAGATGAGAAGGGAGATGGGGTCTGTCTTCTCTCCCATTCTCGATGAGTCGGCTCTGGACTCGGGAGCCTCGGAGCCGAGTGCTCCCAAGAACACTTTCCAGGGAGATGAGAACTGGGTCTGGGCTCCTGAGAGCACCTTTTTTTTTTTAAATAAGGACGACAATTCATCTTCCTTCCACACCCACACAATACGTCCAGCTTCTCTTTCCCCATCTGTTCCAGACTCCAGCCCCAACAAAGCTTAGTGCTGTTGTGGCTGGAAGATTTCAAGATGCCTTTTCTCCTCCTCCCTCTCCTCCTTTTGCCTTTTTTTCATCTTCTCATTTTCTCCTTCCCTCCCTCTTCTTCACTCATGAATTCAAGAAATAAGTGTCTATTAAGAGTCAGACACTGAAGAGCAAAAGTGGAATGAGTAAGCACCCCTGGCCTTGGCTTGCCCAGGGCTTATAGTCTATGATCACGGGAGTAAATCTGGATTTAATGCCAAATGCTGAAGAAGACCTTGGATGGTGTATCACTTTCCCGTTGCTGCTGTAACACAGAAAGTTTAGTGGCTTACAATGACCCAATTTCTTGTCTCACAGTTCTGGAGGTCAGAAGTCAGAAAGGGGCCAAAGTCAAGGTGTCAGCATTTCTTCTGGAGGCTCTAGTGAAGAATCTGTTCTCTTATCTTTTCCAGATTCAGGAGCCCACCCACATCCCTTGCCTTGTGGCCCCTTCCTCCATCTTCCAAGCTAGTAGCATAGCATCTTCAAAACTCTCTCCTCTGACCCTCCTGCTGCCTCCTGTCACTTATAAGGATGCTTGTGATTATACTGAATAATCCAGGCTACTCACCCATCTTAATGTAACTATACCTGCCAAGTCCCTTCTGTCTTTTAAGGCAACACAGTCCACAGGCTTTGGGGGATGAGGACGTGGGCATATTTGATGGGGGCATTATTCTACCTCCCTCAGAGGGGTTTTAAGACAAGGAGGCACGTGGCCTGATTTGGCTGTGTGGGAAGGTAATACATTTCAAGAGCAGGAAAGCAAACATGAAGACACGTCTATCAGGATGTGACAGCAGTTGGGAGGAGGGTGGTGGGGCTCAATGAAGAACAATGGCAGCCGAGAGAGAATGGAGTGCTGTGTAGGAAGGTCTGGAGGCAGGACTTGGTGACAGACTGGCTGGACACAACTGGTGAGTGTGCCAGAGACCCTTCATGCTCATCCATCTCATGTGACTGAGCGCTCACTCATGGTGAGTGGGGCGGGGGATGACAAATGGGTTTCAAAAATACCCCCTGCAGACTCCGCAAACTCTCTCTCTCTCCCCTCTCTGGAGCATCCCTGGGGGCCACATATCCAGTGTGGCAGTGTTCCGAGATGGATCTCTGAAGGACCAAGTGGAGTCAAACTCACCTCCCCACTCTGCCCACCACACTGGCCTGTGATGTGCAAGCAATAAACGTTACAGTACTAAGTCTCCGAGATGTTAAGTTTCATTTGCTACTGCACCATGGTCTAGGCTACCCTGACTTCTGCAGTGAAGGGGAGAGAGGCATCAAGGATGGCACCTGGGTTTGAGTGTCTGGATGGCCAGCTGACTGAGCCACCAGCCACAGTGGGGAGGGGGCTGGATGAGAGGCAGGTGGTGGAGGGAATCAGCAAGCTGGAACTCAAGAGTGTCATTTGGGGTGTATTTAGTTTGAGATGATGCAAAGAGCCGAGCAGAACTAGATTTCAAATAGGCAGTTAGATAACATTCTAGTGTTCAGAGGGGAAACTGCCACTGGAGGAAGAGAACAAGAAGCAGTCAGCACAAGGAAGTTATGTAGGGCCATGGGCCCAGATATTATGTCCAATGAGAGGGTGTAGATTTGAGAGGAAAAAAAAAAGAGAGAGAAGAGACTAGGGTCTGGCCCCAACAAAAGGAAGGTCACCACTCAGAAGAGAAGTTGGCAAAGAAGACGTGGAGGGGTGGCCAGAAACACAAGGAAAACTGGAAGATACTGATGACACAGCAGCAAGGAACTCTGCTTCAAGGAGGAGACGGTAAAGTGCATCAGAAGTGGTTTCTGGGTCAAGAGAGTTCCCATCCTCTTCTTCCCCGTACAGAGGAAGCCAGAACCAGTGTTCTTCCCTGGGAGAACTCTCCACTCTGACACCCCAAGCCTCCCAATCCTCCATGAAGCCTGCCTACACCTTCCTGGCTCAGTCTATCCCACTAAAAGCCTCAATGGGGACTCGGTGAGAAGAATTCAGACCCAGGGGGATTTCTGCTGGGGTGGGAGGTGATGGTGGGCACACTCTCTGGAGCTGCTCCCACAGAGACACTGATACGCACAGTAGCCAAGAAGATGCAGTGCCTTGTGACAGCAGGAGGGGGAAAGACCACTTGGGCAGGTTGAATGGAGAGAGAATGCAAGAGCCATTAGCCCCGACTGGAACAAAATAAGGAGCTAATCTCGGGTTGTCATGGCGATGATTCCGTCCGGTTCCACACAGCGTTCAACACTCGTGAGACCAGGGGGAGTCACACAAAGGCGCAGTCCCCTCTTTTGAGAAGCTGCCCGAGGGTGCCTGGGTATTGTTAGAACAAGTCCCTCATCACAGCACATGATTCAAGGGTAAAAAATGATTCAACATACTGAAATTTACTTTACAGCCAATGTTGCTGATCCATAAAATGAGGACCAGCTGTGAATTCGGTGCTAGGGGAGTGGAGGGAGGACTAAAGACGCAGCCCTTCTCTGTGGGTGTCAGTGGTCCTCAAAGTGTGGACCCCCAAGCAGGAGTGCCACTGGGAGCTTGCCAGAGGTACGGACACTCGGGCCCCATCAGATCCACTGGGTCAGCAATCACTGGGCCCAGCAATCCAGGTTTTAACAAACCTTCCAGCAACTTCTGATGCAGGCTTACGCATGAGAACTACGGGACCAAAAGGAAACAGGTTTGGACAGAAACTGAACCCTTTGTCAGATCTGGGAAGTGAGTTCCTCAGAGGGAGGGCCCCTGCAGACCCCCTTGCTGGGAGTCTGTTCATTCTCAGAGCTGCTGGGAGGCGCAGACAAGAAGCTGATCTTGCTCCAAGGATGGCGAGCCCGGGCCCAGCCTTGCAGAGGCTCCCCCTCCCTCCTTCAGGCCGCTCTCCTGGTGAGGGTGGAAGTGGAGGCTGGGATATACACTCTACACCCTGGACAGGCCTCAGCGGCTGGGTCAGAATAGCAATGAACAGGCTGCTTGTGTCTCCTCCAAGCCGCTTTCCTCCTGCTCATGCCAAAGCCACTGCTGGCCTCCCTCTTCCATCTCCTCCAGAGTATGGGGTGGGGGACCCCCAAGGAGGACCACACCTGACCAGCCCACTTAAATGCAAGGAAGGCCTCCAGACTGATGCAAGCCTGCAGCCTCACAAAGAAGAGGTGCTGGCAGGACTCACCGGGGCTGGCAGGGCTGCCTGGGCTGAACGGAGAGAACAAAGCGGCCAGCCCAGCAGGCGGTGCCTGTGCCCTGCGTGGGCCTGGGGACGCTTCAGAGAGGCAACTCCAGTTCCCACGCACAGGAGTCCTTTCTCCTTGTGTCTGGTCTCCCTGTCTCCTAGCGCTCCCTGGCTGGGACGGCAGACCTGGGGCCGGTCCCAGAGCTGGCTCCGGCCCTCGGTGTGACTTGGCCAGTGACGGCCACCTCTGGCCTCGGCCTCTCCGCACGTCACAACGATGAAGCCAGACTTGGTGTTGTCGCAAGATCTAGTTCGCATGCAGGGGTTTGGAATGAGGGTCAAAACCACTAAATATATCGCCTCAACAATGGTCCCAATAAACATCCTTAAAACCTGCCAAGGATGGTGCGGACGAAACCACCCAGTCAGAAACTTGCTTTCACTCTCCATGATCTTCCCTGTATTTTCTACTCGCGTAAGCCCCCTGCCGAGCTCCAATGCCCCTCCCCAGCCTATCACTGTCCCTCGGCTTCCACTCTGAAGGCCACTATATATATTACCATCCCATATTCTCTTTGGGGGTAGGGAGTGGGTATCCTGGGATCAGTGAGGAGTAAAGATTTAAGTGGATGCAGATGCCCACCTGGGAGCCCCCCACCTACAGCTACACAGCTAAAACATGCCACAGACACATCTCGTCTCTAACAAACCAGTGTCCTCATTCCAATGTACTCACTTTACTGGATATAAAAGATCATGGGGACGTACAAGTAATATGCTATGCTGTGCTTAAGTGCTCAGTTGTGTCCAACTCTTTGGAGACCCCCTGGACTGTAGCCCGCCAGGCTCCTTTGTCCATGGGGATTCTCCAGGCAAGAATGCTGGAGTGGGTTGCCTTGCCCTTCTCTGGGGGATCTTCCCAACCTAGGGATCAAACCTAGGTCTCCCGCACTGCAGGCAGATTCTGTACCGTCTGAGCCACCACAGAAGCCCAAGAAGGCTGGAGAGGGTAGCCAATCCCTTCCCCAGGGGATCTTTCTGAACCAGGAATTGAACCAGAGTGTCCTGCATTGCAGGTGGATTCTTTACCAGCTGAGCTACCAAGGAAGCCCACAAGTAGTAAATATATAAATATTAGTACATGCTCATGCTCAATTGCTTAGTCATGTCCAACTTTGTGACCCTTTGAACTATAGCCCACCAGGCTGCTCTGTCCATGGGATTCTCCAGGCAAGAATACTGGGGTGGGTTGCCATCTCCTCCTCCAGGCGATCTTCCTGATCCAGGATTGAACCCACATTTCCTACACTGCAGGCAGATTCTCTACTGCTGAGCCATCACCATAAAAACATATATAAAAATGTTGTCGTGAACTCACACTCACAGTCATTGGAACAGGCTGACAGATTTCCTTGTTCAGGTGTGTTTCAGTGACACTAGCTGACCCTTGACCAATGTTCCATGCATAGCACACACGCTTGGGACAGAAGGGGCAGGGAAG